ACTTTCATTTACTCCATCTCAAAATCTCTTCCTTTATGTAATCTGTTTCTGACCTGTATCATTTTCTTTCTGACAAATTTCTTATAATACAAATCTACTAGCAACAAATTCCCTGAACTTTTGTCTGAAAAACTTTTTAAAAAAATACTTTCATCCCCCTCCCCTCCCCTCCCCTCCCTTCCCTACCCCTCCCCTCCCCACCCCTCCCCTCTCTTCCTTTTCCTTTTCTTTCCTTTTCCTTTTTTTTTTTTTTTTTTGACACAGTCTCACTCTGTTGGCCAGGCTGTGATTTTCCTGCTTCACTTTCTCGAGTAGCCAGGATTATAGGCATGTGCCACTGTGCTCACCTGTTTTATATTTTTAGTAGAGATGGGGTTTTACCATGTTGGCCAGGCTGGTTTTGAACTCCTGATCTCAGGTGATCCACCTGCCTTGGCCTCCCAAAATGCTCGGATTATAGGCATGAGCCACCACATGTGGCCTGTTTCTTCTTTACTTTTGAAGGGTAGTTTTGCAGCATCAACAGTTCTAGGCTGCTGTTTTTTTCCTCTCAACACCTTAAGTGTTTCACTTCACTTTTGTATTGATTACTCGGTTTTTGAGGAAAAGTCAGATTTTTGTTTGTTTGTTTATTCCTTTAGAGGTAAGCTGTTTTTTCCTTCTGACTTTTTGCAAAATTCTTTATCCCTCAACTTTCTGCAGTTTGAATATAATATGAGTAGGTGTAGGTTTTTCCCTGAGCTTCTTGAGTCTCTAGTTTGGTGTCTAACATTAACTTAAGAACATTCTTATTATTGCTTCTCATTTTCTTCTGTTCCTTTTCCTCTTTCTTCTCTTTTTGTTATTACCATTATACATATATTATACCTTTTGTAGCTGTCCCATAGTTCTGGGTTTTTTTTTTTTTTTCAGTCTTTTTTCTCTGCTTTTCAGTTTTGGAAGTTTCTCTAAACATATCCTCATTCTCAGAGATCTTTCATCTGGCTTGTTCAGTTTTCTAATGAGCCCATTAAAGGCATTCTTCATTTCTTTTACAGTGTTATTGATTTCCAGCATTTTCTTTTTGATTCTTTCTTAGAATTTCCATTCCTCTGCTTATATTCCCCATCAGTTCTTGCATGTTGTCAATATTGTCCTTTAGAGTCTTAGAATAGTAATCATAGTTTAAAAAACATTTCTGATAATTTCTGCCATTTCTGACTCTGGTTCTGATTTTTGCTCAGTTTTTTTCAAATGACGTTTTTTGCCATTTAGAAGGCCTCATACTTTTTTCTTGATAGGTAGATGTGATGTATTGGATAAAAGGAACTGGAATAATAATGTGGTGGTAAGGTATGTTGGGAGGGGTAGCATTCTAGAATCTTATGATTAAATCTCAGTCTTTTAGTGGGTCTATGCCTGTGAATTGTGAACCTCACAGTGCTTCTCATTTTCTTTTTTCTCATTCTTAGTTGCGATAGGATGGCTGGCAGGGGCTAGGATTTGTAGGTGGCACTGAGATATGTTCATGCCACTACACTCCAGCCTGGATGACCTGTGAGACTCTGTCTCTTTAGAAAATAAATAAATACATACATATATAAAGTGTCCACTATGAGAACTTCAGAGCTCTTGGAGATAAAACTCACAAAAGCGTGGGAGTTCCCTAAGACTGAGTTCCTTTGGACTTTCTAATTCTCAGTTCTGCCTACATTGAGTCTCCAGTAATTCAGTAATTACAGTTAAGGTTTCTCTACCCTGGTACTGGTTCTTACGCATGTTTCTGCTTCTTGGTTTTTACTACAGTATATTGCCATTCTCTGTTTCCAGTCTGTCTCTCTCTACAGAGCTACTGCTCTTGGTTTTACAATATCTTTATATCCTTAACTTACCACAGTGTAACTTTGAATGTTATACCACTTTTCCTTCTTTCCTCCTCTCCTTTGTGCTTTTTCACGTGTTTTACTTATGCGTATGTAATAAACCTCACAATACGTTGTTATTATTTTGGATTTAAATAGGCATTTATTCTTTCATATTTATTACTTATGTTACTTTTTATTCCTTTGAGCAGATCTGAATTCCTTTTGATATTATTTTTCTTTTGCCTGCGGAATTTTTAGCAATTCTTTTACTGAAAATCTACTGAATATAAATTGTTTCAGTTTCTTTCTATAAAGTGTTTATTTCACTTTTATTTTGGAAAAGGTATTCACTATGTATAGAATAGTAGAGTGACAGTTTTTTCCAGTATTTTGTCATCCAGTTGTCTTCTGAATTTTACAGCTTCTGATGAGAAGTCTGCTGTCATTCTCATCCTTGTCCCTTTGTATTTAATGTCTCTTTTTCTGACTGCTTTTAACATTTCACTTTATTAATGATTTTAAGAAATTTTATTATCACATGCTTTAGTTTAGTCTGGTATCATTTTTTTGCTTAGAATTCATTGAGCTTATTGGATCTCTGGTTTTATAGTTTTCATGAAATTTGGTGAATTTTTTGTCATTGTTTCTATAAAAATGTATATGTTTTTGTCACTCTTCATTCCCTGGAATTCAAGTTATGTTTTTGTTAAATGGTTTAATATTGTTCTGGAGGTCACTCATGCTCTTTCTTATTTTTGTAGTCTTTTTTCTTTAGCCACTTTATTTTGCATATTTTTTATTTTTTGTGTATTCTAGTTCACTGGTCTTTTCTTCTGCACTTTCTAAATTGCTGTTCATTTCATTCAGTGCGAGTTTTGTTTCAGATGCTACATGTTTAACCTTTAGAAGCTTGACTTGTATATATATATAAAAGGACAGATATGTACATTTAGAAGAAAAGAGAGATGTGAAAATCTCACATATTGTGTGTGTATGTATCTTTCATTTCCCTGTTACTTTTTGAATGGATGTTGGATATTGCACATGGTATTTATTGGGTGCTTGAATTTGTTATGTACTTTTACATACTTTTGACTTTTGCTCTAATCAATAATTAAATTTCTAAGAAGAAGTTGGATTCTTTTTTCAAATTTTGTTTTGGGATGGAGTTTGCTCTTATTTCCCAGGCTGCAGGGCAATTGCATGATCTCGGGTCACTGCAACCTCTGCCTCCTGGGTTCAAGCGATTCTTTTGCCTCAGCCTCCTCAGTAGCTGGGATTACAGGCATCCACCGCCATGCCCAGCGAATTTTTGTACTTTAGTAGAGACAGGGTTTCACCATGTTGGCCAGGCTGGTCTCGAGCTCTTGACCTCAGGTGATCCACTCACCTTGGCTTCCCAAAGTACTGGGATTACAGGCAATGAACCACCATGCCCAGCCAGAAGTTGGATCCTTTTGAGGCTTAGTTTTAAGCCTTCCTAGGTGGGACTAGTGCAACTTTTAAGCTAGGACTCATTTAGCCCTACTTCCACAGTGATATTTTCCTAAGGATTTTCTAGTATCTCATGTAGTGGGAGCCATTTTCGTTGCTGGGAACATAAAATATTCCTGGCTATGTGTGAGATCTGAGATTGGTTTCACCTGCTACATTGTGATGTTTCTGTTTTTGGTCCTTGGGAAGTTTTTATTCACACATGCACAAGTCAGTGCTCTTTCAAATACTTGAGGGAACCGTTCTGCAATCGCTGTTTGCTCTCTGTTTGACGGTTTCTGTTCCAGCATTCTGCCTTTCAAGGCCCTGTGGCCTTGGCCTCCCTATTCTCCAATCTCGTCTTCTGAACTTGGCAAGAAAGAAAAAGAGACTCTAGTTTTTGACTTCTCTATTCTGTGGTATTGAAACTGTTTCCATGGAGTAAATTAGGGCAATCGTAAGCGTCTCTCACCTATTTTGTTCCTCCTCTCCATGGGATTATATCTTGCTGAAACCTTTGATTCACATTTTTAGTTTGTTTTGTTGTTGTTTAAGGCAGAAGGGTAAATCTTGTCACTGTTACTTCATAGTATTCATAAGCAGAAATCCTGCCTTAACATTTTTTGTTTTCTTTCTATGTTTAGAGATGATATTGTAGGTTGTTTTTGCTGACACATAAGGGGCCTGTTGGCATTTGCCTCTTAGTTTCAGTCATTATCTTTTTTGGTATCTTGATAAAAATCTTGTGTTGCCTATATAGGATATCATTGCTGGAGTACATCACAACTCTATTTTTGTAATAGAGGAAGTCATGTCCTAAGCAGAGGTTGTATAGATTTTGCCTAACTTGTGTATCATTTCTTAAGATAGGCAACAACTTGGTCATTGGTTTTTCTCCCACTACTTGTGGTTTTAAGAATATTCTTCAACTAATGAATTCACCACCTACTTCATTCTTGGGTTGTGAATCCCTAGGCTTAAATTCTGTTCTAAGAGCCAAACATGCAACATGCTGAGTTGGTTGGTTTGTTGCCTGGAAAATTGTTGCAGCAAAATGGATACTTTGGTTATGGAGGGAAAGAGCAGATTTTTCAGATGAAAGGTGTTCAATTCCAAATTCTGGTTTATTCTAAAGACAAGGGTAGAAGTAGATGTGTCATGAGAAAGTGAAAGAAGCTCAATCTGTAAACAGCAAATTTTATAGTGGGTGGGCATTATAGGACCACAGATAAGTAGAGTGACCCTATACCTTGTTTGCTGAGGACAGTCCTGGTTTATACCTGTTGTTCTGGAATAATTAATAGCACCCCATTTCACTCTTCAAAGTGTTATAGTTTGCATATATACATTTAATTATATACATATGATTATATATCTACTTATACATACTTGCATATGTATAAGTATTTACAAGTATATCATATTTATTGTGCATTTATATTATACTTGTTATATATCTACATATATAATGTCTGCTTATAAGTAGATACATATATAATAGAATATATGGTCACCTCCTTATAAAGGATTGATTTAAAGGCTACAAGGTAAATGTTGATTCCTTGGTTATTGTCATTTCTTGAAAGATGGATTTACTGTTTACTTTGTGTTTTAGTTAAATAATATGCAGTATATACTGACTAATAAATATAGTTTTATAAACTTCTGGTGTTTTTCCTGCAGATGATCTCAATGCCACCCACCAACACTGTGTTTTGGCTGGTTCGCAACCTCGATTTAGTTCAACCCACCGAGTGGCAGAGGTAAGTGTAGATAAAAATGTGATTTACACCTAACTGGATGTGACAGAAGTGGTTGAATGAGCAATTTATCATAGGGCTTTGGAAGAGTATTTGATGGGAAAATTGCTTCCATCTAACTTTACTTTTGTCTCTGTTTACTTGCTTTTTGAGCTTTGGATTGTGTTGGATACAGTTTTAGAAAGCTTATTCATGGCATGGGATAAGTGTATTTTGCTCCTTGGGGTTACGTTTCTTGGAAAAGGAAAATGTCATTGACAAGTGTTTATAGTTAGAGATTTATTTAGAGGGTTGTGTCTGTCAAGGCCAAGGGCAGGAGGTCAGCAGAGGAATTGGGGCAGATCTTTGCACTTGGGCATGTGTTAGCTGTGGCTGCGTTCGGGTGATGAGGCTTTTTAGTTCTCTTAACTTTTTGGTCAGACTTCTGGGCATGTGAGTGTAAATTAGAGAGAAAGTTACACTGTTGCCAAGGAATTTCTGAGCTCCCCAATTATATTCATAACCCTGACTTTATTGCTAAATTCTGCCACCACTTGTAATGGCCAATGGTTAGCTGTTCAGACTGGTTCAGAATGGAAAACTAAGAAATGAGAAAGACTCATATTAGTCATGTTGGGATCCCATGTACTCAGTTAAGAAGGGTTCCGGGCTGGGCGTGGTGCCTCATGCCTGTAATCCCAGCCCGTTGGGGGGCCAAGGCAGGCAGATCACGAGGTCAGGAGTTCAAGGCCAAATCTGGCCAACATAGTGAAACCTCATCTCTACTAAAAATACATAAAAATCAGCTGGGTATGGTGGTGTGTGCCTGTACTCCCAGCTACTCAGGAGGCTGAGGCAGGATAATCTGTGAACCCGGGAGGCGGAGGTTGCAGTCAGCCGAGATCTCGCCATTGCACTTTAGCCCGGGCGACAATGTGAGACTCCGTCTCAAAAAAAAGAAAAAGAAGGGTTCCATGGAGCAAGGCATGAAGAGGATTACAAGCGACCATCTACCTAACCTTGTCATCTGTGCTTTGCTTTTTAGTTTGACTTTTCAAGGGACTGCAGGGGACAAATGTGAGAAAATTGGGTGGAAGTGGTACATCAAGGTGGCAGGAAGGTACAGGACAAGGTCCTCCAGCGGCAGTACTGCATGAGTCTATACGGCAGTGTCTTGTCTTTTGGTCATTTAGTAGCTTTACCAGTGGACCGATCATACTGCTGTGTGGCAGAGAGAATGAATGAGTGTTTAAACCGAGATACCAGCGAGGCTGTCCAGCACTCCTTTCTGCCTTTCTCCCCTTTCTTCTTTTTTCCAGTCACTCATTCATTTAAATATTTGAGTGCCTGTTCTGTGTCTAACACTGTAGACCTGGGAGACAGCTGTCAACAGGACCATGATGCCCACCACCTTTGTTGAACTTTAGTTGGGGAGACAAATTTTAAGCAAATGAACACGGAAATAATTGTCTTAAAGACCTAAAAGGAGTTCTGTTAGAAAAGAGGGAGGGGAGGGAGTAAGATGGGGAAAGACGAACAGAGGAGGAAGGGAGGAGGGAAGGAAAGAAGGATGGAAGGAAGGAAGGAAGGAAGGAAGGGAAGGAGGGAGGTAGGGAGGGGAACGGAGGGGAAGGGACGGGAAGGGGGAGGGGAAGGAAAGGGGGAGGGGAAGGGAAGTTGGAGGGGAGGGAAGGGGAGGGGCATTTATAGAGCATCTAGTATGTGCCTTGTATTGTACAGAAGGATTTCATTTCCCCAGTTATAGGCTTCTGTCTTTCTAGCTATAACCCTCCCAGGAATCTCTTTCTTGTGTTGTAAATCACTTGAGTATGTGGCGACTTAAGTGTGCCCTTCTACCTCTTTCCTAATCTAATCTGGAAGAGTAGACAGTCTTACACATATTAACTAATTTAATCCTCATAAGAACAATCATACCTAATTCATACGAGGATGAAATTAGTTAATATGTGTAAGTCTTTTTAGAACAGTAACTGGTATACATTCAAAGAAGTTAGCCATTACTACTTTTATTAAATTACTCCGACTGCTACTACTGTCTTTTCATTTTATTAAGATGAAAAACTAATAGGAGATAGGAACAACTAAAGCTCTCTGTGGAAGCTGGTTCTGTCTTCATTGTACACTAGAGGGTATATAATAAAGCAAGAGACATTAAATCATCAGCAAGTTTTGATTATAGGAATTACTATTCAGAAGGGATTCCAGTTTGTTCATTCTTCAAATTTTTATTGAACTTTATACCATTCAAGGTATTCTTGTAGGGACTTGTGAAGGGGAATGGTTATGTTCAGTATCTCCAAGATGTTTATAGTCTAAAGAGTATGTACAGTGAAGAATAGAAAGTAGCAGATAGCATAAGCCTTCATGGGTGAGGTGGGGTTTGTAGTAGCCTTTCAGGATGAGTAAAATGTAGGGGATTGAACATGGAGGGATTAGGGGATTTTAGGACAGCAAATGGGATGAAACAAGACTGAGGTGTGAATCTTGTGACTGGGATGGAATGGGGATGTTGGGGAATATTGACTGGCTGTAGTTTGAGTGAGTCTCAGGGTGCCAAAGGGAAGACTGGCAGATAAGGCTTCATGGGACCAGAATGCATGAGACCAGGCTACATGGGTGTGAAAATCTTGGATTTCAGATTAAGCGTTTAAACTTAAGTTGGTTGGCAGTTGTGGGCTATTGATTATTATTATTATTATTTTTATTTTGGAGACAGAGCGTCACTCTGTCATGCAGGCTAGAGTGTAGCGGTGTTATCTCAGCTCACTACAGCCTCCGCCTCCCAGGCTCAAGGATTCTACTGCCTCAGCCTCCCAAGTAGCTGGGACTACAGGTGCATGCCACCATGCCCAGCTAATGTTTCGTATTTTTAGTAGAGATGGGGTTCAGACCGTAGTAGTTCAGACCCTAATTTCCATGAATAATGTAGGAGACATAGTATGAGATTTGGCAGCTGACTGACATGGAGAGAGAAATGTCATGATGAGTGAATGAATGAATGGAATGAACTAATGCTTTATTGGATGTTTTCCATGTGACAGGCTCTAGGATGACTCTTGAGTGTCAAGTCTGGATGGTTCAGGGATGACATTATTTAGTTGAAATGGGGCCCAAGACATTACAGCAAGTTGATAGCAAGTTTTGAACAGGCCGGGTTGGAGCTGCCAAGTGGAGCGATCTAGCAGATAAATTGAAATGTGTGAGGAAAACATATGAGACAGCAGCAAACTTCTCATCCCTGCCCACCTGCAATAAATACAGACATGCAAAAGTTCCCAAAAGTAGTGCTTTGGGGTTACAATTCTCCCCAGCCTTGCTTCCTTTTTCCACCTGGACCAATTTCATATTGTCATTAGAGCCGCATAGCTTTCAAAATATCCTGAGGCATAGCTTTCTCTGGTAAGTCATAGCTGCGTTTGTGTCTCCGAATTTTTAGACCAATTTTGAGCACATATTAACTTTAAGTAAAGAGGTGAGTGGGTATAGTGATTCTGTTGAGAGAAAAATGTTACCGCAAATCTAGATTTTTGTGTTTTTTATGCTTCTGTTCAAGCTACGTGGTTTTTTATTCATTGGACATATATGTGAATATGTTGCCTTTTATATCAGAGCAGGGGTCAGCAAACTGTTGCTCACAGGCCAGCTGACTTTGTAAGTAAAGTTTTATTGGAATGCAGCCACACTCATTTGTTTATATACCGTTTATGGCTGTTTTGGAGCTACAGAGGCAGAGTTGAGTTGTTGCAGCATAGACCTGTGGCCTGCAAGCCTAAAATATTTATTGTTTACTATTTTAAGAAAAAGTTTACTGACCCTTGTTATAGATGATCATGTGTAAACAGACCTTAAAAATCACCTTAAAATTAAAAGTATTTTCTCAATGATCACTGTTTTAAGTGATCTACTAAAAGTCAAAACCAGCAGTATTCAGTGCTGGCAGAGTTACACTGAAGCTGGTATAATTCAAATACTTCTGATAGTTTTCCCAATTGGTCTACTTTTTTAAAAGCTATATGGGAATATGTATAAAGCACCATAAAAATATTCCTGTCTTTGATCTCATAAAACTATTTTTAGGAGTCAAACCCAGGAAATTATTAAATGGAACTATTTTATACATTAAGATGTCTATCTAGCATAATCCGTAGTGGTGAAAAGTTAGGCACATCCTTAATGCCTTTATAGTATGTAATCAGTTAATTATATAGTTAAATATCACCTTAATTCGCAACCATTGAAAATAGTTATTTTGCATATTTGTGGACAGACAGTGAAAAACAGCATAGACATTGATATGGATACACTGATTACAACTGTATATAGATACGGAATACCATGTACTAAGGAAATAGAAATAGGTTAAGCTGGCAAGATTATGTTTTATTTTATTTGAAAACTTTTATTTCATCTTATATTACTGTTTTCAATAGTAGAATCAGCAAAAGGCTTTTTACCCAGCACTGAAGTTTCTTTGTTGTTTTCTTTAATGGAAGAGGGAAAGAAATTCATACAAGTTTATCCTCACTTATTCTACAAATGTCCCCTTCTTCATACAGTTTTAGCATTACATGTCTTATCTGTGTCAAACAAAATGATTTGCTCTTTTCTGCCTATTCACACTATATAGGAAACAAACTGTGTTAAGGAAATGACGTTCTGAAATCCATTTCAGTTATCAAAAAGAAATCTTGGCAGTTTTTGTTGCATATGATTAGATTAAGTCTGATGGATCTTGGCCTTTACTGGATTTTAGTTTAGTTTTTTCGTGTGTTTGGTTGTTTTTTTTTCTTTTTTTGAGACGAAGTTTGCTCTTGTTGCCCAGGCTGGAGTTCAGTGGTGCAACTTTGGCTCACTGCAACCTCTGCCTCCCAGGTTCAAGAGATTCTCCTGCCTCAACCTCCTGAGTAGCTTGGATTACAGGCATCCGCCATCATGCCCAGGTGATTTTTTGTATTTTTTGTAGAGATAGGGTTTTGCCTTGTTGGCCAGGCATGTCTCAAACTCCTGACCTCAGCTGATCCACTCACCTCTGCCTCCCAAAGTGCCGGGGTTACAGGCGTGAGCCATCACGCCAGCCTAGATTTTAGTTTTTGATAATTGTGGCAGCATGTTCTTGGGATTCAATGCAGAATATCTTTTTTAAGAAATTTAAATTTTCTGTGTAATTATATTTTGAATAGCTAGTTAACACAAATAGTTCAAAATTAAAAAAAAAACCTAAGGGTGTGTAGTTAAAGTCTCTTTCTCTTCACGCCAACCAGGTCCTCCTCCCCAGAGGCAACCAATGTTATCAGGTTCTTGTTATTCTTTTGGTGATATTTAATATGTAAGTAAATATGTAATTTCAAAAATAATATAAATGATAACTTGTTATATACATGGCTCTGTACTTTTGTTTCAGTAAACTTTAGTAGTAATTACTCATCAATATATAGTTCTTATCTTGGAGTAGGTAATGGCTTTCCGGATATGACATCAAAAGTGTAAACAACCGAAGAAAAAAACAGATATATTGGACTTCATCAAAGTTAAAAACCTTTATACTTCAAAGGGTACCATAAATAAAGCGAAGAGGACCCGTAGAATGGGAGAAAATATCTGCAAATCATGTATCTCATAAAGCACTTATATCTCGAATATTCAAAGAATTCTTACAACTCGATAATTCAAAAGAGAAACGATCCAATTTAAAATGGCAAAGGAACTGAATTAACATGTCTCTAAAGAACATATACAGGCTGGGCACAGTGGCTCATGCCTGTAATTCCAGCACTTTAGGAGGTCAAGACTGGTGGATCACTTGAGGCCACGAGTTCAAGACCAGCCTGGCCAACATGGTAAAACACTGTCTCTACTAAAATTTCAAAAATTAGACAGGTATGGTGCCACGTGTCTATTTGTCTGTTTCCCCCCCCCCCTTTGGTTGTATGATTTTGATGTCATATTTAAAAAACCATTACCTACTCCAAGATAAGAACTATGTATTAATGGGTAATTATTACCAAAGTTTACTGAAACAAAAGTACAGAACTCTGCATATAGTAGGCTACCATTTATATTTAAAAGTCTTTTTAATAATCCCAGCTATTCTGGAAGCTGAGGCAGGAGAATCACTTAAACCCAGGAGGTGGAGGTTGCAGTGAGGTGAGATCATCCACGACACTGCAGCCTGGGTGATAGAACAAGACTCTGTCTCCAAAAAAAAAAAAAAAAAAGAAGGTATACACATAACCAGTAGACACATGAAAAATGCTGAACATCATTAGTCATGAGGGAAATAGAAATAAAGACCATGATGGGATAACATTTCATACCCACTAGGATAGTGAGAATAAAAAAAGACAGTGACAATTGTTGGTGAGGCCATGCAGCAGGTGGGACCCTCATACACTGCTGGAGGGAATTTTCAGTGGTGCAGCCACTTTGGGAAACAGGCTGGCACGTCTTCGGAAGGTTAAATCCAAAGTTATCCCGTGACACAGCAATTCTATGCCTAGGTAGATACTCAAGAGTGATGGAAACTTCTACAGGAATGTTCATAATCACCAAAAAGTGGAAACAGCCCAAAGATTCATCACTTAATGAATGAATAAATGAAATGTGGCATATCCATACAATTGAATATTATTTGGCATTAAAATGAAATATGGTAATGATGCATGCTACAACGTGAATGACTCTTGGAAACATACGAAATGGAAGCAACCAGTTACAAAAGATCACATATTACATGATTTCATTTATACGAAATGTCTAGACTAGGCCTCTCTATGGACGTAGAAAGTAGATTAGTGTTTGCCTAGGGTCGGAAATGTTAGTGGAAATCAGACGGGTTTGGGGGTGACTGCTAAATGGCACAGGGTTTCTTTTTGGGGCAATGAAAGTGCTCTAAAATTAATTGTAGTGATGTTTGTATAGCTGTGAATATACTAAACAACATTGCATTATACACTTTAAATGGTTGAATATGATATATGAATTATACCTCAATAAAGCTGTTACCAAAAAAAAAAAAAAAAACAAACAAACCTATCTCAAACTAAGCCTGATTATAGGTTCTTTAAATAAAACACTGTACACCCAGAAAAAAATTATTCCACTCTCTCTTTTTTCTCTGCAACCATAGTTCATTAAACTAGTTTCTATTGTTGAGAAATTTAGATTGCTTCCAATCTCTAGATACAATAAATGAAAATGCAATTCATAATCTATGTAGCTCACTCCATAGTTAGGAAAGTAAAGGTGCAAACAGGAGAACTTTCTAGATTGAAGTCATTTTAAAAAGATGTTGTAGACTGGACGCGGTGGCTCGCACCTGTAATCCCAGCACTTTGGGAGGCTGAGGCGGGTGGATCACTTGAGGTCAGGAGTTCAAGAGCAGCCTGGCCAACATGGTAAAACCCTGTGTCTACTAAAATAAAAATTAGCCGGGCGTGGTGGTGTGTACCTGTAATCCCAGCTACTCGGGAGGCTGAGGCAGGAGGATCACTTGAACCTGGGAGGGGGAGGTTGTGGTCAGCTGAGATCATGCCACGCCACTGCACTCCAGTCTGGGCCAGAGATCTTATCTCAAAAATAAAACAAAACAAAACAAAACAAAAAACAAAAAGAAAAGCTGTTGTAGAGGTTGCTGTGGGACAAAAATGAATTCATGTACCTCTTTTTTGTGTGTGGTTTTTTTTTTTTTTTTTTGTCAGGAAATGGGAGTTGGCTGCCCTTGTGCACCCAGCACTCTGGGATCTTCATATTAAAATACATATTAGTCAAGCTTCTGTTTTTTGGCACAGAAACTTTATTTTTCCCAGGCTTGTTGATGTCACATTGTATAAAATGGCAGTAAATGTGCAAGGAATTTTTATACCAGAGGATTAGCCTTCAAGGTTATTTCCACGGGCTCAGTTTAAATTATAAATAATAAAACCAAAATATTTTAGGGGTACATTTTCCTCATTGGGACCGAAGGGTATTTATAGCTGACTTCTTTTCATTCTAGGAAATCATTTTATTGTCAAACCAAGTGGATGCACTGGCCATGTGCATTGGCCTCTTTTCTGACATATGATCATTTATAAAAAGGAGTTTGTCCATTTGACCTCTGTTTTGCCTCCACAGACTCAGAGAGGGATGAACTAGTTATCTGTGTCCTTGCTGAGGCCCAGGTAGTAAGTTACGCCTTCAAATGTGCCTGCAGGGCATGAGCCGCACATTCTCCATTATTTGAAGAATCTATTCTGCCAAGGACTGCCACTGCCTAGTGTATGCTTTTTGCAGAAAAGGGAAATGAGTTCTTTGCCTTGTGATTATAACTTTATTTTTCCCTCTGTCATGACGGTACCATGGAGTGTGCTTTTGAACCAGTTCTGCAGCCTGATTACCTTTCATTCCTATTGTTAGTCTCAGGGCATTTGAGATAAAACGTCAGTGTCCTTGACTTCTTGGTTAACCAGTTATTCATCCAACAGTTATTTATTAAATTTCTTCCACTTTTTGGACTCAGTTCTAGATGTTGTAGTCTATATAGAAAATGTGTTTAATACGAATAAACAGGGCATTAGCCTCCGGAACCCTAATGTTTAGTTAGTGATATGAGGCCCACGTATAAGAAAACCAGCAAACTAAGTAGCCCACGTGAAGACAAACTGGCAGCATAGAGCCAGTGGAACAGGCCACTCCAGTAATTCTTGAGTTAAGGAGTATAGGCCGGGCGCGGTGGCTCACGCATGTTGTGGGAGGACTGCCTGAACTCAGCAGTTTGAGGCCAGCTTGGGTAATATAGCAAAATCTTATCTCTCTCTACAAAATAAAAATTAAAAAAAATTAGCCAGGCAGAGTGGTGCATGCCTGTGGTCCCAGCTATTCAGGAAGGTGAGGTGGGAGGATTGTTTGAGCCCTGGAGGTTGAAGCTGCAGTGAAATGTAATTGCACCACTATACTCCAGCCTGTGTGACACAACGAGACCCTATCTTAAAATTTAAAAAAAAAAAAAAAAGGAGTATAGACGGATCTATGGGGGCAACAGGTGAATTCACAGCAAGGGACAGATATGAACAATTCTAGGAAAGGTGGCATGGTAAACTTAGATTTTGCCCGTAATTGTGATTGCTGGTTCTGTCTCAACAGTGCTCAACAGGAACCTTGGATTATATTTTACAACGCTGTCAGTTGGCACTGCAGAATGTCCGTGACGATGTGGCCAATGGTGATGTCTGTTTGAAATCCTTTGAGCCTGCAGTTTTGAAACAAGGAGAAGAAATTCACAATGAGGTAAGGACTTTGTTATTTTTATTTTTTTCTGAGATGGAGTCTTGCTCTGTCACGCAGGCTGGAGTACAATGGCACTATCTCAGCTCACTACAACCTTTACCTCCCAGGTTCAAGTGATCCTCCTGCCTCAACGTCCCAAGTAGCTGGAATTAACAGGCGTGTGTCACCAGGCCTAGCTAATTTTTGTATTTTTAGTAGAGACGGGGTTTCACCATGTTGGCCAGGCTGGTCTTGAACTCCTGACTTCCAGTGATCTGCCTGCCTCGGCCTCTCAAAGTGTTGGGATGACAGGTGTGAGCCACCACACCCACCAAGACTTTCAAGAATTGTGCAATATCTGAGATTCTACCGTACTTGCAAGCTAACAAAGTAATCTGCCACAGTTTCATACCAGCATAAGTCATGAGACTCTTAGGTCAGAGATGGAGGACAGGTTATTACGTACAACAATAGCAGTCACCGGAGTCTCAGTATTTTTGTGTTAGTTCATGAACTTAGTCTGTTCAGGCTGCAATAACAAAATAGCATAAACCAGGTTCCTTCTGTACAACAGAAATTTATCCTCACTCTTCTGGAGGGTAGCAAGTTCAAGATCAAGGCACAGGCGATTTGATGTCTGGTGAGGGCTCGTTTCCTGGTTCATAGATGGCACCCTCTCACTTTCCTTACGTGGTGCAAGGGCCAGGCAGGCTCCCTGTGGTCACTTTTATAAGGCTACTAAACTCTTTCATGAGAGCAGAGTCTTCATGATCTCTCACCTCTGAAAAGCCCCACCTCTTAATGCTGTCACTTCGGATGTTAGGATTTCACCATAAGAATTTTGGAGGGACATACACATACAGACCATAGACTTCTCCCAGCTGCTGTTTCTGTAGGGCAATGCAAAGTAGGCCAGGTAACACGTATACATTGAGGGGTTGCATTACAGGAGAGGAACCTCGAGCTACTGGAATCTAATCTTTTTAAGGACAATAAGCATGCCCGTCCTTTGCTTTAGATCAAGACACTGTCCTTATCTTCCAAGTCTATATGCACACCTGCCCTTTGTTCTGGAGGGAGAAACTCTCTCTATCAAGGCTCTTGCTATGTAACCATCCTTGCAATGAGAGTCTGTACACAGGGCAGTCAGTGCTTACTCACGAGACACGCAGAAGCACAAGAGACTCATGAAGAATATTCTCCCAGTAAGGACTGCTGGGAATTGAGAGTAGGCCCTAGGAGCAAGTGTCAATGCCTTGCTTTTCAGTTATGAAATTAGTTGCCATTCTGTAGTCTGTGAGACTGGCAGGTCTGGATCCCCTGGGTCAATGTTTTGCAAACTCTACTTTTCCCACTAATACCCTCTCAATATTTGCTTTATCTTTGGAAAACATACATTGTCTAGTTACTTAATATTTTTCTTTAAGTCAACAGTTTTTTTCAACATATATAAATTTCTTTAAAAAGGAAGCTTTGTGTTGCTACTCTAAGTGGAAATCCAGTATCATTAGCCAAAAGAAAAAGTATCCAGAAAAATAGGTCCAATGAAAACAGGGTCATGTTATTACATTCCAGCAGATATTCCTGTCTGGAGGAGGCTCTGAGACTCAAGTTTCCTTTCTTCATGTTAAGAAGGGAGATTAGTGGTAATGGTTTCACGGCTTCATAAATTTTCTAATAATCATTGGATTCCGCACTTACAATGTGTGAATTTTATGGCTGGTAAATTATACCTCAAAAAAAAAAAAAAAAAAAACCCCTTTAAAGGAAAAAAAAGGAGACACTGGATGTGGTAGAGAACTGAAGTTCATTCACCAATCTGAGAAGTTCTTTTTGATATCATGAAAAGGACTGATAGATAATTTGGAGTTAAAAAATGTTCTTATGCATCCTTTCTATAAGTAATTACTGAGCATGTGCCAGACACTCTTCTGGGTGTGTTAGAATATATTGGTGAATAACATAGACATTCTAGTACGGGAAGATGATGGTAAGTAATAAACGTAATACATTGGTAGGTTATGTAGTATGTTAGAAGTTGATAAGTGCTATAGAAAAAAAAGAAAAAAACAACAGAGCAAGATGATGGAACTTGAGAGAACTAGAGAGCCTCCCTGTTGAAAAGATATCCTTTGAGCAAAGAATTGAAGGACTTGAGAGAGAGCCATGTGGACATGTGGGGAATTGCATTTAGGGCAGAAGGAACAGCCACTGCAAAGGCTGTATGGTGGGAGAATTTCTGGAGTCCAAGGAACAGATCAGGAACAGTATTGTCTGAGTGGAGGGAGTAATGCCACCACTTATAGGAGAAGAGGTCACAGAGGTCGTTCCAGGAGACTGGGAAGCAGCAGACTGCACAGGTCCTTGGAGGCTTTTGTAAGGACAAGGACTTTCCTTTTTACTCTTCAGGAAATGAGGAGCCATTGAAGAGTTTTGAGGAAAGGAAAAGTAATGTCTTCTCCCATTGAGATATGTAATACTTTTTAATGTCTTAATAAGTTATTTAATACCTTGTGAGCTGCTCCACACTTTATGAAATATTGTCATAATCTCCAGAACCACAGGGAAAGCAATTCTACCTTTTAGGGGATTGGTAACCACTTCTAATGCTGAGCTTGAGTCTGACTTGCTTCCCTTCATTGTGCCTGATGGGTGTCCCACTTTCTCTCTCATTAGTCCCTGCTGGAGACATTGCTGATAGCCAGAACTTCAGGACAGAAGACATTTATGACCTCCCTGAATTACATCAGGGAGCAAAGTTATGTCTTTTTCCATATTTATAGTATAGAAATCCTAATCTCAAAATTTAGTTATTTCCTTCTCGAAAACTCTTGCAATTTTCAGAGTCAGACTAGCAGAATGGGTGCTTTCTTTAACATGCCTATGGCCTGTCTTATTTCCCTATCTTTTCTCATCTTTTGTAACTGACTGTGATGTTCTGTTACCATCAATGGATGGGAGAATTCTGTAAAATCACACTGTATATCTAACACAATATTGTCATCTAAGTTTGTCTGCTTCAGGCTAGCTGTGCTGGCTCATGCCTGTAATCCCAGCACTTTGGGAGGCTGAGGCAGGTGGATCACTTGAGGTCAGGAGTTCAAGACCAGCCTGGCCAACGTGGTGAAATGCTGTTTCTTTCTTTTTTTTTTTTTTTTTAATATGGAGTTTCACTCTTGTTACCCAGGCTGGAGTGCAATGGCACGATCTCGGCTCACCGCAACCTCCGCCTCCTGGGTTCAGGCAATTCTCCTGCCTCAGCCTCCTGAGTAGCTGGGATTACAGGCACGTGCCACCATGCCCAGCTAATTTTTTGTATTTTTAGTAGAGACGGGGTTTCACCATGTTGACCAGGATGGTCTCGATCTCTTGACCTCGTGATCCACCCGCCTCTGCCTCCCAAAGTGCTGGGATTACAGGCTTGAGCCACTGCACCCTGCCGTGAAATGCTGTTTCTACTAAAAATACAAAAAATTAGCTGGGCAGACACCTTTAATCCCAGCTACTCAGGAGGTTGGAGGCAGGAGAATCCCTTGAACCCAGGAGGCAGAAGTTGCGGTGAGCCAGGATTGTACCATTGCACTCCAGCCTGGGTAACAAGAATGAAACTCTATCTTAAAAAATAAAAAATTGTTTGCTTCAGAAAGTGACTGGCTGCTTTTGACCTTGTATGTCAGGGAGGTGGGGCAGAGATGTATTGTATTAGAAACCTTGGCCCCCCTGAGTTGAATAGAGAGAGTGATCTTGAATTTAAATAGTGTGTATGCCGGTCTTTACCATCCTGCCAATCCTTGATTCTTCAAGGTCATCTCCTTCCTTTTGCAATTAATTCCATATGTCAGGGCACATTGTCAGATACTCTTCTTTTGCCATACAAGTTGGCCTGGGATTCAGCAGTTGCACGTCTGCTCTCTACTTTGTCCTGTTGTTAAATGGAAGCACACGTGTCCATAAAGTTTCTTGCTTGCTTTCCTCTTTCTGCAAGGCCACGTGTCTTTGCTAGACGAGTCACAGGATGAAGCCCTCAGTTTTACATACTGCTAGCTCTCAATCTGTGTGGGTTTAGAAGTGGTTTGTTTTCCTTGTCTAGGATGGTTTCTAAGTAAAGAGTTTGGGAAGTTTGGGCATATGTTTTGGATACCTTCTTGGAGATATTTTTTCCAATTTAAGATGCTGAGGAAAGATTCTTGTTTAATTATAAGTAGTATCTTCTTCCATGTTATTAAATGGCCCACTTACCTTTCTAAAGATAGTAAAATGTGGAATTCAGCCTCCTAGTAAATTTCCCACATGTGTGGGAAGAATGGAATGTTTCATAGTATTGTTTGGCTCTCATTTTCTTCTGATTAGACCTGTGACTTCCTTATAACTACTGCGAAAGGGTCTTCATAGGCTATCTCTTTGTGGATAGAGCCTTACCATGTCTCCCTTGTCTAATTTCTTTCCCTGTGAAATAGCTTACTTCTGTTATTACAGTGAGACACTAATCCCAAGGGGAGTGTTCACACATCTCATGAGGGAACTGCCTGGCTGACTTGGGACCATATCAAGAGTTCAAACAAACTTGGCAGAAGAAAAGTAGGTGACATTTGCTGACCCGTAGGAATGATGGAGGTGATTTACAGCTATACGATGATAAAGTAACTCAGAAATATTCTTTTGAAATCTTACTAGCTTTGCTCTCCAACGCTTGAGTGCTCAATGATTGAAGTTCAGACATGTGGGTTGATTCTATTTCTTTCTCCTCTTCTAGATTTATTTCCATTAAGTGCATGTTCAAAATCAGGGTGTTTGGTTTGTAAGTATCATGAAAACTTTGAGAGAACCCTGAGAGCTCCTGCAGGTTGTCTCCCTGCTGTTGACGTCTTCAGGGATGTGTCACCCGTGGAATGTTCCTTGGCCCCAAGTGAGCATTTGCCTTCCTGATGGCTTCTTATTTCTGCTCTGTTAGCTATGAGCCTCCTTTGAGAGGCTACAACTCTGGAGAAGAGAGGAAGACCCAACTCCCGTCATGCTTATAACTTTATCAGTCAGTCACTGTGGTTAGTCATTGATGTTTGTTTGTTTGTTTTTCAGACAGTGTCTCGCTCTGTCACTCAGGCTGGAATGCAGTGGAGCAATGGCTAAATGCAACCTCTGCCTCCTGAGTTTAAGCAGTTCTGCCTCAGCCTCCTGAGTAGCTGGGACTACAGGCAGATGCCACCACGCCTAGCTAATTTTTTGTGTTTTAGTAGAGACGGGTTTCACCGTGGTTCCCAGGCTGGTCGTGAACTCCTGAGCTCAGGCACTCTGCCTGCCTCAGCCTCCCAAAGTCCTGGGATTACAGGCATAAGCCACTGCACCTAGCTGCTTGTCTGGTTTTTTAGCCCCAAAGTAATTAGGACTCACTGTACTTTGAGTCCTGACCCTTTGCTTTTTGTTTACTGTCCATGCTTTAGCTTTCTTTTCTAATTTCCAGAGTTTAAGGGGAAAATTTATTTTTTAACTAGACTCTGAATCAAGCAGGTGGAAATATTTTTTCCCTCCTTAATTAATTTTAAGGAGCGAGTCAGCTACTTCTCTTGGCAGTGGGGGAACTGGTAAAGGTGGCATTTGATTAAAATCCTGTAGTGGTTTTTACCCACAGCATTGAAATGAAAAAGTCCGGTCAAGGAGTTGAATAGAAGGCATGCCAGTGGATTTGATGTTCACAGAGATTGTGTCTCACGGGCAGTACTTCAACTCATGAGTAAAATTCTGTTAGGAGAAGGTCCTCAGTGTTGATCATTTCTGACTGGCATTCGTGGGAAGGGGTGGGCATGTGTCGACAAGGACATTAATACTTTTCCTGGTCAGAAATGTGTAAGATTGTGCGATGCTTGAGGACAGGAAGTCCAAGGCCTTGTGGTCTTGTTAGTATGCATTCTTGACACCTAGCAAGTGCCTCACATGTAGTAGGCGGGAATTATTTCTGTCTTACAGATGACATAGCTGTTCTGTAGTGGTACCCACTTTTGAACTGACTCCAGAGCCCATATTCTTTGGGTCATGGTCTCACTCTCTTGCCCAGACTGGAGTGCAGCAGTGTGATCATGGCTCACTGTAGCCTCAGCCTCCTGGGCTCAAGGGATCCTCCTGCCTCAGCCGTCTAAGTAGCTGGGAGCACAGGTGCGTGCCACCACCACCATCTAACTTTGTTCATTTTTTTATTTTGTAGAGATGAGGTCTCACTGTGTTGTCCAGGCTAGTTTCAAACTCCTGGGCTCAAGTCATCCTCCTGCCATGGCCTCTCAAAGTGCTGGGATTATGGGTCAGAGCCCTTATTTAGTTTCTATTTTTTTGAGATGGAGTTTCGCTTTTGTTGCTCAGGTTGGAGTGTAATGGTATGATCTTGGCGCACCACAACCTCCACCTCCCAAATTCAAGTGATTCTCCTCCCTCAGCCTCCCGAGTAGCTGGGATTACAGGCATGTACCACCACACCCAGCTAATTTTTTGTATTTTTAGTAGAGTCGGGGTTTCTTCATGTTGGTTAGGCTGATCTAGAACTCCCTACCTCAGGTGATCCACCTGCTTCAGCTTCCCCAAGTGTTGTGATTACAGGCGTGAGCCACTGTGCCTGGCCCAGAGCCCTTAGTTTTAACTATGATGCTATCTTCCCCAAAAGATAATTAGGCATCCAAGGGAAGATGAAGGCATTATTTATTAAAATACCCAGGGCTCTCTCCTGGCTCCTTGTCCAATAGCCCCTAGATAGATAATGGTCTTCTCCTTGCTTCTAAGTTTTAATTTACTGAAATCCAGTTTCTGGTGTACCCTGATAGACTGGATGGACTAATTACATACGATAATCTATTTCCAGAGTCACCAGGGTTGCCAAGGCTTTTCCATTCCGTCCTCTTCAACGGGGCATAACCAGCCCAAAGACTGGAAAATCTTTTAAAACCTTTTCGACTCTAACAGAGGGCTTGATATTTTGCTAACAATCTCTTCCCATAGCGTGAACAAATTTTATGTGAAATCCATCAAAAAGAACTCAATTTTTTTCTTGAAGTAAGTAAGTTGTGAAACCTTTACTTTCACGGACATTGAACCTCACTTGTATTTATTCTTCTTTCAAAGTACTCAAGGTTACGCCTGTTAACCAGTGTCTTTTAATGCTACAGATAAGTTTTAGCAACTGTTGTTTTAATATTGTCTACATTCCTTTTTTTGTTTTGTTTTGTTTAAACAGCTTGAACTGAAATCAGTTCTACATAGCAAACAAACATTTAGTTAATGTAAACTAAAACCTTTTCATGTGACTTGGTATTCTTAGCTTACTCATTTGAGCCACTTTCACCATTGTTAAATCTTCACAAGTTGCTTTTGTTTGCCTCAGGAAAGTTCAATGTAGATAAACACACAAAAAGATGCTTTGTGGTAACAGGTGAAGATTATAATAGCTCCATGTCTATATATGGAGCATGATCACCTTAGCAAAGCCAGACAACCCAGCATGAAGCTGTGGGGACTCCACATTTCTTTAGCGGGCAGGGGTGAAACAAGTATTTAAGATCAGTAGCATTGTACCTTGATTTTTCAAGTTGACGAATGATAGAAGACTTAGAAAATGGATAGAAGACAATTTTTTAAATATTTCCATAGCTTAACTCAGCCTCTGATCTAAATATGTTGGGATTATTTTCGTTGAAAGGGGCAAAAGATTTAACCTGAACCGGTTTAAGGGAAAACAGCTTCAGGAATAGTTTGATCAAGGGGCAGTTGATGTCATCAGAATCTCGTTTTTATCTTTTCATCTTGCAGCTACCCCCTACTGTGTTCTTCCCATTAGCTGGCAAAATGTCTGCAGAGTCTTCTTCCTGTAGTTTCTGGTAGTCTCGAGACTTATTCTGACTGGATGTATACCTGTTTCTCTCAATCCTAGTTCTGTGACTAGAGAAATCTAGTTGACTGATTAGCCTAGACCTGGGTTCCATATTCCACGCCCAGTACTGGAGTTGGAGCTCTCTTCAGACCACATGGGCTGTTTGGGGAAGGAATGGGTGGGATTTGGTTAGAACAGGAGAACTGCCAAGGTGGTAAACAATTGAAGTTTACAATAGTAGATTCATCAGAAGCCAAGTAAGTTACTTGAGTATTTCTGATCTGAAAAGCTGAAATTTGAAGTGCTCCAATATTCAAAGCTTTTGAGCACAAATGTGATGCTCAAAGGAAATGCTCATTGGAGCATTTTGGATTTTGGATTTGAAATGCTTGACCAGTAAGTATATAGCACAAACATTCCAAACTCAGAAATACTTTTGGTCTCAAGTATTTCAGATAAGGGGTACTCAACTAGTACTTATGTTTTTGCTACTGTTTTTTTTAACCTATTGACACCTTCCCTGAGTTGAAAAATGACAATTTGGCTTTGTAGGTTTAATGTATGCCTCCATAATTAGTTTTACATATATGGGTTAAGATTATTACCAGCTCCTCCTGGCCCATGGGTAAGCTATTTTAATTTATTGTAATTTAAGAAACTTATAGGCCGGGTGCGGTGGCTCAAGCCTGTAATCCCAGCACTTTGGGAGGCCGAGGCAGGTGGATCATGAGGTCGAGAGAGGGAGACCATCCTGGTCAACATGGTGAAACCCTGTCTCTACTAAAAATACAAAAAATTAGCTGGGCATGGTGGTGCGTGCCTGTAATCCCAGCTACTCAGGAGGCTGAGGCAGGAGAACTGCCTGAACCCAGGAGGCGGAGGTTGCGGTGAGCCGAGATCGGGCCATTGCACTCCAGCCTGGGCCATTGCACTCCAGATCGGGCCATTGCACTCCAGCCTCCCAAGCAGCCAGGATGACCAGCACATACCACTGCACCTGGCCAGTTTATTTTTAATTTTTTTGTGGAGATAGGATCTTGCAATACTGCCCAGGCTGGGCTCAAACTTCTGGGTAACAAGAGCGAAACTCCGTCTCAAAAAAAAAAAAGAAACTTATAATTAATATTTCCTAACATGTAGCTGCATTTTACTTTTAATAGCAGCCTTAAATAAAGACATTTAATAAAAACATATTCTGTACATGTCATTCCCGTCATATTCCTGCTTTATAATGAGGATCTCAGTATTTGTTGTTGATTGACTTATAGTTTCCTCACATCTGACTAATAAATATGCTTGAAAATCCCTCTCTGGCCAGAGAATTTCAGTGTTTAAATTATTTTATTATTATTATTTTTGACACAGAGACTCTTGCTCTGTTGCCCAGGCTGGAGTGCAGTGGCACAATTATAGCTCACTGCAGCCTCAAATTCCTAGGCTCAAGGAATCCTTTTGCCTCAGCTTCCCAAGCAGCCAGGATGACCAGCACACACCACTGCGCCTGGCCAGTTAATTTTTAATTTTTTTGTGGAGATGGGATCTTGCAATGTTGCCCAGGTTGGACTCAAACTTCTGACCTCAAGAGATCCTCACGCCTTAGCCTCCCAAAGTGTAGGGATGATAGGCATGAACCAACACGTCTGGCCAGACCTCAGTTTTAGGACGACTCTTTTCTTAGCTTTGCAGAAATGCTCTGGAGATGCCAAGTTATGCTGGGAACTGGTTAGGCTGACTTTTCTCACATGTCTCATCCTATGGCCAACAAGTTGCCAGAGGAGAATTGAGAGACAAAGTCATCTTCCTTGCTTGTCTGTCACAAGGCCATTAAAACCACCATCTTCTCTTTGTGGTCCACAGGTTGAGTTTGAGTGGCTGAGACAGTTTTGGTTTCAAGGCAATCGGTACAAAAAGTGCACTGATTGGTGGTGTCAACCCATGGCTCAACTGGAGGAAATGTGGAAGAAGATGGAGGGTGTGGTAAGTACATGAGAGCTGGGACCGTGTTTCGGTGTTTTGTGGGCTGCTGTGTTATACGGATCCCCCACTCTCTCATTTGCATAGGCTAATGTAGATTTAATTACTCCAAATTATCAAGTTATGTTCCTGGTAAGATGTTGGTTATAGCCAGGATTTTGTCAGTACAACCTCAGTTTAGTTCAATAAGCACTTCTTGAGTATTTTCAACTTAATGCAAGATGTGCTGGACATACACTAGGAAGTGGTGATGAGAGGGTAACAATTCAACAATAATATTTAACATTCATTTGCATTTTTATATGCATCAGGTGCAACTCTGGTTTCCCAGTATTAGCTTTAAAAAATTTTTACAGCAATGCTAAGAGGTATAGAACCTTTTCCAGGCCTTAATTTATGGATGTGAAAACTGAGAGGCAGGGAAATGAAGGGCCTCCCCCAATGTCACTGAGTCACTGGCAAAGCACGGTGGAAAGCTGGGCAGGCTGGCTCCTAGCATATGCTCTCCACCACTGTGAGCCGACATTTGAACAAGGAGAGGGGCACGAATATCACCAGGTATGACATTGGCTAAAATGAAATTCAGTCATAGTTGTTCAAAGAAAATCACCTTTCAGAGGTGGAAGTATTACATTCAGACCACTTGAGCTGGCTAGGATGGTGGTGAAATGGCAGACGTGGCTTTGGGGCCTTTGGATGGTGAGGAGTATGATGCGATGGGGCATTTGGGGAAGAACATTAGACTCCAGGAACTGTAAAAACAAGACCAGAAGTGAGGAAGTAAGATGTGACCAGAGCACAGAGTATGGACGGCGTAGGAGGAAATGGAGCCGGAAGGCAGGCTGAAGCCACATGGAGGTCTCGCATTAAGTCTTAATTTAATAATAATAATAGCAAACACTTACATAATACTTACTAAGTACCAGACATTTTTCTAAGTGTTTTCTATAGAACTTCTTTAACTTTTATGACAACCCCATAACATAGATATAATGTATTCCCCATTTTTCTGACGAGGAAACCAGAACACAAAGGCCTTATGTAACTTACTCAAGGTTACTCAGCTAATAGGTGAGGGAGCTGCGATTTGAACTCTAGAAGGCTGCCTCTGGGATCCTTGCCCTTTGCCACCTCACTGTTCTGCCTCCAAACAGCTGGATTTGGAATGTAGTAGAAAAGTGGAAAAAGCCTGCCAAACTCTGGAGATAGTACCACTGCACAGAATTTGAAATGTGCTGGAAACAATGAACTAATCTGCAAAAAGGGAGAGCTATTGCTAATCCCTATTTTATTTTCTTAAAGCTACTTTATTGGGGTATGATTACGCTACAAAAAGCTGTAGGTATTTAATGTGTACGACCCGAGTTTAGAGATACATGTGCATTCATGAAACCATCACAGCAATCTGTGCCATAAACCTATCCATCCCCTCCAAAAGTTTTCTTCTCTCTTATTATAATTATTATTGTGATAAGAACATGTATCATAGGATCTATCCTAATTCCTACTTTATAATAATGAAAATGTTAAGTCACAACTCTGAAGGGCCCAGTTTAAAAGTCTGGATCAAAATCCAAAAGTCCTTGCTTTCCAGACATCTCAAATCTTTAAATCATACCTTTTCATGGGTATATGTCTGGGGAAGGAATGTTATAATCCTTTTAATGTATTAATAGTATCACAAAAATTGATTTCTCCAAAGACCTGAATCGATGCAAAACTGAGCATTATAAAACTGAATTGGAGTTAATGAAAAGTCTGTGCCTAAATCTCCTTAGTCAGTTCTGTTGCTAAACTAAGCCTGTTATGAGGACTCTCCATTTTTATGGGCTGCTTATATAAAGGCAGCTTCAGTTTCTGGGAAACATTTTTCCCCCTACTGTGTAATTCTGATTTTGTCCATTTACATATGAGTTAGAACCTCTTAACTTGATGAACCTTGGCTCTAAGACATCAGTTTGACTTTGAAGTTGTCATTTGACAGCTCTGTGAATTGAAGTTGAAGGGCAAATAAGAAAGGAACTCTTGTTGATTTTGTTTTTAAAAAACTTAATTTTAAAAACTTATTTTGTTCAAGAGCTTTTGTGTGTGTGTCTGTGTGTGTGTGTGTGTGTGTGTGTGTGTGTGTGTGTCTGTGTGTAAAATCTGGCTGAGCATGGTGGGTCATGCCTGTCTTCTCAGCACTTTTGGAGGCTGAGTTGGGAGGACTGCTTGAGCCCAGGAGTTTGAGACTAGCTTGGGCAACATAGTGAGACCTTGTCTCTACGAAATGAAAAAAATTTATTCAGGTGTGGTAGCACACGCCTGTGGTCTGTCTGTACTTAGGAGGCTGAGGTGGGAGGATCATTGGAGCCCAGGAGGTTGAGGCTATAGCGAGCTGTGATTTCATCACTGCACTCTAGCCTGGGTGACAGAGTGAGACCTTGTCTCACACACACATGCACAAAAACAAAAAATAAAGTAAAATAGTTGGTATTGTGAGCTTACCAGTGATATTCATTATGAATTCATTTAAACAATTTAGTTGTATCTATGTAAATTTGTGTATAAACAATTTGGTGATGGTGTCACGTTTGTTAAGAGGGAATATCTTTTATTTGTTTTGTCGCTCTCCCGTAAAAAATACCAAAAGGAAAAGCAATTCTGTGAACTCTCTGGCGCTAGTTTCTCTGCAGTTGGTGTGGCATTCCTAAGTGTTCTGAGGGAGATCAGTGGGCTCAGTGTCTTTCCTCAGCATACCTTGGGATGATCTTTATCAGCAGAGTGAAGATTTAGGCCCAGATAAAAGGGATCGGTCTTCTAAATTAAATGTAAGCATTGCTTCAAGCCTTACGCAATGACTTTTTACAAATTCATAGTAATTTCTTTTTGCTATTGTAAAAGACAGAACAGAATAATCGTTGGACGGGTCTACAGTTCTGTGGCTCTGTTTGTGCAGTGCCATCTGGTATTTCTATACTCGGGTGGAATTGGCAGTGGCTGGTTAGATTTCCGCTTGGTATCAGCCCACCTCATATTTTCTCACTTGCAAGCAGTAGGGGGCAATGTTGAGCTACCAGATTGAGGCCCAAAGATGCTAGCCTTTCAGGAAAATGCATACAAAGTACCATTAACTGTCAAGAATTATCCCTGTTGCTTCAAGTTAGCTGTAATCTCCAGGATTCCATAACACAGGGTATCAGTTGTGGGTTAACAAATTCAACAGCAATTTAACATAAAAAGTACAGTGTTTGGCGCACATTTGGATTCTATAGAATTAGACTAATCCAGATGGAATTTCTGAGCGTCCCCACGTTGCTTCCAGGGACTGTCCTAGTCAAAATTATTATCATTTTAGACAAATGATTCTTTTTTATTTTTATGCTTTTTTGTTTTTGAATTGTAAAATCCTGTGTGTTGTGGAAGGATTTCTTTAATCAATGCATTTTGTCTGTTCTGCAACATAACATCGATCTCTTTTGCTGAGAAAATAAAATAAAAAAACCTCAGGCAATATGTGCATTTCTTTTCCCCTTTTGCTTATGAGTAAAGCAACCTTTGATGGCCCTTGTACCAGGGAAGAGACTTGTGCTGTGATTTCTGTCTTTGTGTTCTTTTTGCACTTTGTGGTTGGAAGGTGTAGTCTCAGGAAGGATGTAGAAGAATGGAAAATGAGCTTTGGAATCGCTTTTCTTCCATTAATAGTAATTGCTTCGCATGTCATAACCAGTCACATATTTCAAAAAGTTTAGTCAGCTGTCTCGAAAACTCCCCCATCCTCTGCTTCCCATTTCCTGTCCCAGCAAGCACCATTTTTATCAGACTGTTTATTCTTGCCATTTTTCTCCCGGCGGATAGTTTTACGCCGTGCATGCTCTTGTGATGTAAATGTTAAACCTTATATTTGAATGACATTCTGATAAAATATCACATTTTCCCTGAATATTACCTCATGAATTTATGAGCCATTAAGCCCAAAGCAACAAAACCCTTTCTTATAACCCAGGAATTGAGTCTGGCCTTTCCCTTCCTCTTTGCTCCCTATTGAGGATGGCATTATAACACTGTCATACTATTCAAATATTTGTTTTTTATATTTACTGTATTTTTTAAAACCGATGCACTACCTACCCTCTGCCACCCCCACAATCCAAGATGATTGTATTATGAGAAGACTCTCCAGGATAAGAGAGAGTTACCATTTGAAAGAAACTGTGCAACTGCTTTGCTTTCTGGGTAAAGAGAAATATGAAAAGCTGAAGTCTCCTGTGAGGTGAGGAAGTCCTGCCATAGCCGGAGATTCAACGGATAGGCCATTCGTCTCTCAGGGTCTGGTATCGCTCTTTGCAAAACTGACATTTATTTTACCTATAAAAATGTTTTAACACTATCAAATTCACAATGATACAGAAAAGAATGCTAGGTGTGAAATCCTCTAAATTGATGACATTTATTCATTTCCTATTGACCTTAAAAAAAAAAAAAAAAGGTCAATTTTGTATAATCCAATAGAAATATTTGAGAATCGTTTCCAGAGTAAACATTTTCCAAAGTATTGATGATTTCTATACCGGAGAGAAATCCTTCGTGCTTTTTCCCTTGTTTTTTTCTTTTAGAAGAAAAAAGTAGCTTCTGATGGTTTTGAATGTTTTGAATTGTATTTCCTGTTCTGACAATTCCTTGTGCTGTTACACTAATGCATTTATATGGCAGTTGGCCTTAATAACCTTTATTGACTTTAGTGGGTAGGAGCCAAGACTGGATTATTTTAATGTATCCGTTTTGAAACAGTGTAAAGCACAACATATAATTATGTTAGGTAAGCTATAGGCTACATTTAATTCTATCCATTTATGTTAAAATTTGGCACAGGAGAGCAGAGAGATGTGGAAAATGAGTAGGTGTTTTATTTAATAATGTAACCAGTTTCTTGTTGTTAAAGTTTAAAGAGAGAAATGTACTTAAGAAGGTAAAGGTTGTCCCTGACAAGTTAGTAGTAATAGTTTAATCTCAAGATGTGTCAT